GGCGCTCCCGCCGCTTATGCCAAGGAGATGGAACGCCTTTCTGCTAAGGAATCTCTCCTCCTCGCCGTGAGTCAAGAATCTTGCATCTTTCTTTGAATTCTCTTTGTCTCTTCGATTCGATTCGATTCGATTCCTATCTTTCTGAGTTACGACTTTCCGTAATGACTTCTTTTTTTTGCTTTTCTTTGGTAAATTTTGTAGACTTGTTAGTCTCACTGTTTAATTGCTTTTTAAAGAAATGTGCTTTTCACGGAAATTGTTTTGAAGCACTGAAAATTGCAATTCCATAAAATTGATTAACTAAGAAAGTTGCAAATAGAAAGAAGAAGCATCCTAGAAGAATAATTTGAAATATACTATGAGAAAATTCTTAACATGAATAATGGCAATGGTGTGATTGATTGTTTCCACTGCCGGGCAGGGAATTAGTGTGTGGAGTTACAACATTTTCGGTCTCTTGGATGTCAGTTTAAGTGGGTAATCTGCTTTATTTTAAATCAAATTCTATGATTTGGTGAGTAGTGCACGGCTTGCATGTGTGTTGTTTTTGAAATCTTGAAGCTCAGATATGCATGTTTATGTTGATTGGATGTTTATTCAGTTTAAGGATGCTGGGGGTTTTGAAGCTTTGGTTACGGGGAAGCTAACAGACTTGCAACGGATTGATGTGAATGAGAGGATAATTGGTCTTGAGCGGCTTAATCCAACGCCAAGACCAACAACGTAGGTTTTCAGTCAAACTAACATGTGTACATGTTCATCTTTTGCTCCAAGACTTATTTGATTATGAAGCTTTTCAGGTCACCCTTTCTGGAAGGTGGATGGAACTTTGAGTGGTTTGGATCTGGGAATCCAGGGTTTTTTACTGCTACATTCTTTTTTGAGTAAGTGTGCTACCATTACTTGATAGGGTCAGTGGTTTTATTTTATTAGATTTCAATCAGATCGACTGGAAGCTAATGCTCTTTGTGAAACTTTATAATGTTGCAGAAGATTCCCCTCAAGTTTGGCAAATTTGTCAAAAATGGATGTAGCAATTAAGGATGGATACTCAAAGATTACTGCAAACTTCAAATTCTTGAACTCGGTAATACATCAGCAGCTTTGTATGTCTCAATATGAAGCCTATTCAAATAAAAGAGGCCTGTGATGAAGCATAAATAAGATCTTTGGCGTGAATTGTTCTATCTTGAACTCTGCATTGATCCTTGTCTACTGTAGGCATCATGTTTGTATGTTCACACCAATCACATTGTAGACAATTAGACATCAGCCATGAAAGTTGCTGTTGATATTACTTATATTGCTTTTATTTTACCAGGTTCTCTAATTTTGATAGTAGATCAACAGTTCATGCTAGTTTAACATTTGAGTTTCTTGTTATACACTGCTTTTTAATATCTGAGTGTCAAAATTCTGCTAAATTTGGATATAGGGTTAAACAAGATTAGAACTTTTTACTTTTAAGACTTTTGCTTGTCCCTTTTTAGCTGAATTTTAGGAAAAATTCTCTTGATAATATGACTTCAAGTAATCCCAGGGATGTCTTTGGTGAAATGCAGATAGAAAGCAAATTTGTTTTGTCAGCCAAGTTATCTGTGGAAGGACCACTTCGAATGAAAGAAGAATATGTGGAAGGGCACCTTGAGTCACCAACTATTGTTGAAGAGAGAGTACCAGAACAACTAAAAGGTCCATTTAATCAAGCTGTTGCTACAATGCAGCAGGTTCCTGTTCCTGTTAGGGATGCAGTGACAAGTGGACTGAGATTTCCTCTGAGTAAGCATTGTGTTGTATTCAGATTTTTACTCAAGTTAATATATAGATGAGAGACATATAGGCTGTTCCAGTTTCAGTATGATTTTAATTAAATCATGACCAAAGCACATTCTAAGTTGAAATCTAATTTTGAGCCAACATTTTAAGAAAGTTCAAGATAGCCAGCTGCTGTATAAATTTCTCTAAAATGGTTATCCCTGTTCAATATGGTAATCAACTGTTTGATGATTTTCATGGATTCTGCATGCTAGTGTGCCTGTAGCCCATGTGCTTTCTCCACTTGCAAAGATGCAATTGACCAATGATTATATGATAACTTTGTGACCAACAAGAGCTTGGCTGAATTGGTATCCACTAACCTAAAAGCCTTGATTTGGGGTCAAGGTTGGGGATTCAAACCTTTGTAACGCCAAGCAGCAAACTTTTGATGTACCAAAAAAAAAAAAAAATGATAACTTTGAGTGTTTAAAAGATATAGGAAAATGCAGCTTTTTTTCTTTCTTCTTTGACTAAAGGATGTTGTTTATTAGAAACTTTATTAGTGGATGTTATAATAAATGTGATTCATTCTAGAGAGGTCAAAAGTAAGTTGGGATTTCAAAATTTGAACTTGCATTGCAGTACTTACTTGACAATCTCACTAGTGCTAGTCCACTTGATACCCTGAATGCTTCTTCTTTGTTTTCTCTTGTAATCTTTAATTTCTTATCTTATCCAGATTACCTGTTTCTAGAATTCATACAAAGTCATTAAAAGAAAGTTCATAAGATGTTATACTTAATTACTTTTAGCATCTGATACTGTAAACTTTTTTGTTTTTTATTCAACTTTATTTTGTGAATCTAACGGGAATCTCTCTTTTTGCTTTCAGATGGGACATTCCAGAGAATGTTCATGATTTCTTATCTTGATGAAGAGATCCTTGTAAGTTTATGAACTTAACATGTATTTTGATTTGGAACTTTTACTGCAGTCTCTGTCCTTGAATTTATCCTGTAGATAATTCCTTTGCCTTTTGCAAATTTGAGAATGATAAAAGATACAAGAGGGTAATGAGTTCACCAAATAGGTTAATAGCCTACCTGGCACTGCTACAAACATATGTTCCTAGAAGCTGACCTATCTGGGTGCTGTATGTTTTCATGTATTGGTATATCCATTCACTTCCCAATTGATCTTTGGTTTTGCCTTTAGTTTTCTTCAAATGAACTATATAACTTCATTTGTACAGTTACAGTGCATCAGTTGTTACTCGTTTTGATGACTTCGTGGAAGCTCTTTCTCGTTAGAAACTACGAATGTACTCTGATACTATACTGTCTATGTAATATACTTATAAATTAATTTTATTTTGTTTCTGATCAATCATAATCTTAGCTAAAAATACTAAACTAAAAGGTCAAATTCACTCCATCAGCCCCTATGTTTTGGAGGTATCTTTCTACAGACTTTATGAATGCATTATTAGAATTTTGAAGGAGATACTGATGCTAAAAGTGAGGCTTTTTCTTTATATAACTTTAGCAACTGATTACATAGGAGTAGCTGCTTCCTATTTGCTGAAACATTATGACATTCACAATAGTACTGAATCATCAAATTTTAAAGGACAAGAAGAAAGGAAAAGAAAGATTTTTAAAGTTGATTATAGTTTCTACTTTCCTTGAACTTTCCTTGAAACATCATTTCTTCACAACATAGGAAGTGTAGACATGAATTTATCATTCCCAAACAAAAAGGATGGAAAGGTGTTTGAAGTTAATATTTTTATGGACTTGTAAAGAAATCAATCCATCTTTCAATATTCCTATTGAACCTGAGCTCATCATTGTTTCAGGTGTGATAAAACTTTAATTTTAAGCTTAGGTAAGAAACAGGCGACCATATTAGACTCAGTTGTGTTTCCTTTTTATGCAGGTAATAAGAGATACTGCTGGAATACCTGAAGTTCTTACGAGGTCAGGTGCACCCTCACCTCCCATCACAGATCCCATGTCAGAGTATGAGAGCTAGAGATTCATGTACATCTATGATGTATTGCAATTAATTTTCTCTTTTTCACTTTTACCAGTATACTGCTGAAACTAAAATTACAAGGCAATAAAATTGAAGGTTTAATATCTTTTCTCTTCATGCCTTCTCTTAGTTATCCCCAATAGATCGTTCTTTTATTTGTTTTTGTCCCCTAGCTATCAGTCAAACTTTTGGTAACATGGAGGAACGCAATACTTAAATGAGTTGCTTTAAGCGTCTGTGTTTTAAATATTGGAGAGTTGTTTTCAGGGTTAATACATATTCATGCTTTCTAGTCTGATGGCTTCTTTGACAATCTGATTCACACCTGATATGGAATTCACACTGCTTTTGTCCTACATTCCCTTTCTCCGGGTTAGATAATTCTTATCTAGAAAACTTGAGTCGGTGGTCATCAAGGCTTTCTCTTGAATGCATATGATTAAAGTAATTAAATTACAAGTTGGTGAAGTGTGAACTTATGTGACTAAATGCATAATGCTTGCTTGACTAATTGCTGCTCTTCTATCATGATGATGATATGGAGTAGTATTCACACCGCCTCTTAGTGCTTGCCTCTGTCAGCAATAAAAGGCAATTTTTTACTGTTCTGGTTTAATATTATTAAATCCCAGTAGTTTTCTGATTACCTTTGGCTCGGGAGCTCCCACTCCCACCATGTCATGGTGAGGTTTGTTTTGACCATTCTCTGTTAGCCGAGAGTTGTAACAGGATAACCTGGGTAAACTGTTGATTATTAATGTAATACAAAGGTTGTGGCGGCGCACGTTTAATCCTGCTACTGTATTATATTACTTAATGTTGCTTTCACTCCTGTTCTGGTAGAAGAAATGTTGCTTTTATTCATTGGATCTCTTGCTTGTTTTCCTTAATGTTAGAGCATGAAAACCCTTTATTTACTCCTCCATCTTTGTCACCTTTTTTAAGATATGGTGTCAAGTGGAAATTAATGATCCTTACACCCCCAACTTCATCGGCTCTATGATTGCTGTGTGAATATGATATGGACTTTGCCATGAATCCGATATTTTTTTCAGGCTGCAAATACAAGTCAAAGCACGTGCCCCCTTAGATTCTCACCGCTACACTTGTAATCACGTTTGCTGATAACGTATTGTAAAATAATGATAAATATATAATAAAATTCTTAGAGGCTGAAGAATGGTTGGTTCATCATGTCATCTTTTTATGTGTCAAGTTTCAATTTTTTTTTTATTTGGTAATCCGTGGGCTCTATATCCTGTTCTTGAATAATTAAAAATGCAATTTGCAAATAAAGTTTACCAAAATTGTTGACTTAAGAGGGCTTAAGTCAACCATCAATGCTAATACATAACCCTTGGCTCTAACTTTGGGTTTTTTCCTTTTAAAAAACATCACTTCAATTCATCACTTTCTCTTGCCGTCCTGTCCCTGTTTAAAGATGTCTTCTACAAAAAATTGAAATTTAATTATATCATGTTCTCATCACCAATTTTTTAAAAGAAAATAACAAAAGTTATATGATCTGCTTTCACATTATATTTATTAATGGTAGCTGTTTCTTTGGTTCCTTCTCCCTTTCTCTTTTTTTCCTTTTTTGATACTCAACTATTTAAGCTGGGAAATTAGGAGTAGGAATCTCTCAATACCTCAATATGTCCTTTAATTATTATATTGAGATATATAGTCTGTTTGTATCTTTTAGTTATTAATAGTAATTTGGTTATTTTCTCTCTTTTTTCCTTTCTATGTTTTTGGATGCTCAGCAATTTGAGATATATATGAGATAATACAATCCGTGATCTCCCATGATCCCATTTTGTCCTTTAGTTATTATAATAAGATAACTCATTTGCAGGCTATTTGTGTTTTTCTTATTGTTATGAGAACTTTGTTTATCATAATAATCATAATTTGTTTCTTCCTCTCCTCTCTTTTTTAATCAAATTGACAAAATTATTGGAAAAGGCCAAGAAAAAAAAATTACAATCTAGAGTTTGGATATTATCAAATTTTGAAAATTTGTGAAGCTTGTGAGATATGTTTTGGACTGTCAACCAACATGTTTAGTAGGAAGGCCACTTGATATAATTAATGAAGACATTTTTTATTAATAAATTAACAAAAAGTCTTGCAAGAAAAGAAAGTTATATGTATCAAAATCATCCTTCATATAAAATATATGGGTATCTCCTACAACGTTTATGCTGTGGTTTGTTTGGTCTGCCAAACAATCTTCTTCCCAATGGAAGGGGAAGAAGAAAAGAGACAAAAACCCTATTACCTTTTTAGATATGTACAACAAAAGCCACTCCCATTTCCAAATGGAAGAGACAATATCTCTAAAATTAAAGTTAGACTAATAAGGAAAACATATGTAAAAATCATTTTCATATTGTTTCAATTAGTTAAAAACTTAAAATTTTTAATTAAAAATCTCAAATTCAAAACTTAAAATTTTTAGTTAAGGATCTCGAATCCAAACTTTGAGATGGGTGAAGAGAAATTAAAGGAAAAAAAAATTATCTTTTATTATATAGTTATTATCTTATGTACTAAAAAAAAATGAAAAAGACCAAAATATATACATAATGTTTTTTTCTTAAGTTTTTATACCCTTTAAGTCGAAATATGAATCAAAAGGCATTAGTTCAGTGTATATATGAATCAAAAAACATATTGAAATCTTAAAAGGTAGGGTTCGAACCATTCCTTCAATGTAAAAAAAATTCCTGACATAATAAAGTTACTTTCAACTTTGCCCTTAAAAAAATCAAAAAATGGGGCACACAAAGTGATGTTGTGAAAGTAGAATTGCAAAATTAATTATCTCTTATATAAAAAAAAAAAAAAAAAAATGGGGGGCACATAAAGTGATGTTGTGAAAGTAGAATTGCAAAATTAATTATCTCTTATATACACACTAGAGAGAATAAGATTTGCAGGAATAATTAGAGAGAGCGAACAAAATGTAGAGAATTCTGTGAGCTATAAATCTAAAACCCCATAAAGCAATCAAACATTCAAGAAATTTAAGAGTGAAATTAACCAAACTATAAAAAGGAGGAAAAAAAAGAATCATTATTTTCATAATTAGGCCAATTGATGAGTTTCTTCAAATCCATGCAAGGGTGATGGATCCAAAGGAAGCAAAGGAAATTCATCAAGCTCTTGGATAAACCCAAATTCCAAATCTCCAAACCCATTTAGAAAACCACCTGAATTCTCACCAGTCCATATCCCTTCTTCTTCCTTCAGTACCTTCTCCGATGTCAGCTCCAATTTCTTGGCCACAGGCGCCGGAGGCAGCTTCTCATGAAAGGTGCTTCTGGGGTCGGCTCTTCTTGCCTTCTTCTTACAACCCTTTTCATGTGTGGGCTTCCCGGTGAGTTTCTGCACCAACTCCCGGAAGTTCTCAACGTCGGTCTTGATGATCTCCGGTGCAAATATGTGAATTATGCGGATTTTTGGTTTTGGCTTTGAGATCATGTGGGAATTCTTGTGCATGGCTAGGGTTGAAGAGGGAATAGAAGTTTGGTTCTTGATTGTTTCCATGGAAAATGAAAGAGAAAGAAAAAGAAAAGGTTGAGGGAGTAGGTGTATGTATTTGTTTAGAGAAAATTAAGATGGGTAGGTATATATAAGGAGGGGAAATGAGGAGAGAGATTTTATTAATAATTAATGAAGGGATGAAATAGGGGAAAATTGATGAAATGAAAAACAAGCTGCAGTTTCCTTGTTTGACAAAATGCAAGGTAGTAAATAAAGTAACAGAACTCTATGGTCCGCAAATTTCCAAAAGGAAATAATTTGTATTGTACTATACCTTTGTCCTCATCTTTATAAAAAAATTTCATATACTTTATTCTACACAGTTGAAATGACAAATCCATTTTTAGTCGTTGAAATTTTGTAATTTTAGATGACAAATTCATTTTTAGTTGTGGAAAATTTATAATTCCAAATCTATTTGGAAATTTCTGTATAATGTTGTTATTGTAATTATTTTTTATATATTATACTCATAAATTAAATTCTAGATGCGTGATAACAACTACTTATAATCAATAATTAAGAATTAATCTATAATGATTTCAAATATGAATTTCTCGAAAAATTGATTTCAAGTTAAAATTCCCATCCCATATATGTGTATAGATTTTGTTATATCATATTAATCTAGTGAAACTTACTACTAAACAGAGCCTAAAATTTTCTATTCTTTAAACCAAACCTTTTGTTTTGAGCAACAAATATCTGCTATCACATTCATCTGAGTTGAATATTACAGCATCACACTAAAATCTAAAGCCAAAGGTGTATGTCTAACGTCACATTTGTCCTGACACAAAAAAGAGGTGTTTCTGGCTGAGATTATTCTCGTTATTAAATTTATTAAGATTATCAATTTAATTTTAATTTTATTAATTTATAATTTTTTTAATAATTAATTATAATATTTTTAAATATCTATTTATAAATTAATTTTAATTTTATTAAATAATAAATAGAAATTATTTTATCAATTATCAATTATTTTTAATATTTAAATTAAAATAAAAAATTTGATAATTTTTTATAATCTTAACAAATTAATAGTGCTCATAATTTCTCAATTGATGAAGAAAAGTAGTATAATTACCAGTTCATTAATTTAGGATAAAATTTATTGCAGGAATCGGCTTAGTTGAATTGGAATAAAAAGCCATTGCCATGTCTTCACCGGCCGTACAGAAAGATATTGTCATTTCCTCTGAGTTTGTGTTTCAGTTTCAGGCCAAAGGAAATTTGCCAACTACCACCACTTTGCATGAATTTCTCTTGTGCCCCCTGAAAAAGACCTCTTATATAATATACCCCACCTGAAATTAATTTTCATTTTATTTTTTTCGCATAATTAAAAAAAAAATAAAGAACGGAAAATGTTGGGATATGAGAAAGCGAAAGAAGAAAAAGAAGAAGAAAAAAAAAAGGTTTGTATACTTTAAAAAAATATTAGAGTGAATATTAATTTTAGTGTTATTATCATATGAATATATTTAATTAAGTGATTAATAAATTAAATATTATTTTTTATTTTTTAAAAAATAATTGAGAAATTAAATATTATTTTTTATTTTTTTTAAGATTTTTAACTTATATCTTTAAAATAAAAGTTTTTAATTTACACGTTTAAAATATAAGTTAAACAAATTTTTTGTTTTTAATTTAATATTAGAGTATTCCTAACGTTTCTTGAAAATTGTTTAATGTCCTTTTATAGAGAGGGAGCAGTCCATATTGTCTTAATCTCATTACGAAGTTGAAAAAAATATAAATGTGAAATGACAAATTAAGTTGATCTTTTTTTTTTTTTCCTTATACTTTAAAAAGTTTATTTTAATAATAAATATTTTGTGCAATTCAATATATTAAATGGTGGTGGATCCTTCAGAAAAAGGTCGACTCCCTCATTTAATAATCTTTGATTTATTAAATTTTAAGATTATAAATTTTTATTTTAAACTAAAAAGACTAACTCACCTCACAATTAAATAAATTAAAAAAAATCGTTGCTTATAAATAATAAGTAATTTCAATATAACTCGTGATTTACATTGAAGAAGTCTCTCCAAACAAAAGATGAATAACCTAAAATTAACTAATCATTTTTTTTTATTATTCATACCTCAAAAATTAACTATTCGACATTATAAAAATTTTAACCACTAACTTTTGACTCTAAATTAAAATTTTTAATGGTCTATTACTTTGTTTGCATTCTTGTTTACCTCTTCAAACGCCCCCAGCTGCAAGAATAATCTCCCAATGGTTATAACTAGTTTCGATTAATTAATTAACCTTTTATGTACTGATCCTTATGGCATATCTCACTTGGTTTATTCAATAATATACTAACCTCTCTTCATATTTATTGTTTTCTTTCGTCTCCTTGCCTTGAACTTTTTGCTACTTGAACTTTGTCAATGCCGGTGTTCCTCCTACATGATATATATGAGCCAAAATATCCAAATCCACCCCTAAAGTATAGTGGTAGGAACGGATCAATCTCTGAATGAAAGGGGGAACAAATCTACCCATAAAATTTTTTATTTGAATAAATTACCCTAAATTTAATGTGTGATACCATCTGACATTAATAATCTGTTAATAATAAACTCATTAGCGACATAACAAATTAACGAATTGTTGGCGTCAAATGATGTACCACATTAAATTTGAAATGATTTGTCCAAATCGAAAATTTTATGAATGAATTTGTTTTTAATTTTTGTTCAGGGGTGAATCCGCTCCTACTACTATACTTTGGGAGTAAATTTGGCTATTTTGTCTATGTATGACTATCTCCTACTTGTAATTAATTACTTATGGACCCTTCCCAACCCTAAAACACATAGATATTAACCACAAATTGGCAAACAACAAATGTTAATTGCTGCCCACTAAGCTCATACATACCCATATTTACTCTCTCCTGCATGCTAGGGTGTAGAGCATGATATATAGCCGGCCGGCACAACAACAGTTTAGTGCTAACATATTTAAAGTCTCGTTTTTAGTTTTAAGATTTCAAATAGTAGAGTTGGTATTAATAACTACATCAAGGATCATAATTAAATTAGAAATGTTTTTGTTTAGTTCGGTCATTGAATTGAGGAAGACTATAATCAAAATTTGAAATCTAGTGTAATCTAGAAAAAAAAAAGAAAAAGAAAAGGGACTAATCAAATTTTACCCTTATTGAGGACTATAAAGGAATTAAACAGAAGTACCATGAGCAACCCACCCATAAAAAAAATATATTTATATATATTGTGTAGTTTAATTGTATTAAACTATACAACATAAATCATTAAATAAAGTAAACCCTTCTTCTAATAATTTTTAGTTTAGAGTTCACATCAAATTGCAAAAAATAAATAAATAAATAAATATTCTTAAATTTTCATGTGCTAAAAATTTTGAGATAGATCATAATTAACAAAGAATAAATTTTGAAAAATTTATATTTATATTTATATTTGAAAAAAGTAAAAATTAAAGCCTCCTAACATTTATTCACATAACAAATGAAATTGGATTGAAATTTACATTAAATCTCACTTATGTAATAACTATAATTAAATCTATTGATATTTTTAATTATAGAATATTTTAAAAGAAAAATTAAATATCTTAATATTAAAAATGTTAAAATATTTAATAATTATTATATGATAAATTTAATAAAAATAATTAATATTATATTTCATTTATTGAATTATTATAATTAAACGTTTTAATATTTTAAATATCAAAATATTTTAATATTTTATTTTTTTTCATATTTTAATTATGGTAAATTAAAAAAAAAAAAAAAAAGAGAGAGAGGGGTGAGAGAATAATGATGACCGTTGGATGTGGACGTGAAGGTGTGATCCAATGACATCTTGGGCTTACGTCACCCAAAAGGGAGGGTGGGGGAGCACACGGTTCTCGTGCCAGCTGGGCCGGCCCACCTACAAAAACAGAATGTACGTAAGATCGTCTCATCGCCACGTGGACGGCAATGGGCCGTGACAAAACGGTACAACAAAAAATTCGTGAGGTTTTGTGGGGCCCTTCTGTGAGGGCCCACTCATTTGCGTGATTCAAACTTCCCAGTCTTCCGCGTTGGCGTTGAGCTTAGCTGGACTCTACTTTCTTGAACTAACGTGCGCCTAGGACATATGTCGTATGTGCTGAGTACTAGGGTCGGTCATTATTTATATATGCATTAAGAACTTTGAAAAAACAAACTATAACATTTAAGTTATTAATGAGGATAGTATCTATCTGCTTACCTCTTAAAAATTGAAAAAAAAATATTTTAAAATTATATTATTTTAATAAATTTTTATTAAAAAATTAAAATATTTTATTTTTAAAATTTAAATTAAAAACTTAAAGATAATTTATATTTTTACTTATGTTTAAAAAATTAAAAAATTTATGACTATAGTTACGTGTTAGCATTATTAAATTAAATTTTCATTGTCGGTTTAGTTTTAGGTAACAACGGAGAGAAGAATAAAAAGTTTTTCATCCGAGGAAAGAGCAGTTAGACTAGTTAATATTTAAGTTTGACAATAATTATTTTTAATATTATTTTTTATAATTCAATTAATTTTATATATTTGATTAAAAGTAAACAATCATTAACTCATTAGTCATAATTGTTTGCCAACAGCTAAATCAAAAGCTAATATGACCTAAGTTGTGCCCTAAAAGAAGAAGAAAAGAAAGATTGGAAAAATGGCATTTTTCAATCTTTCTTTAATAAGTTTAAATTTATTTATTTATTTTCAATAAGGAAAATGGATTAGTGTTTGTCCGTTTTACCTTTCAAAAATTAGAAAAAAAAAATCACTTTAATATATGCTTTAAAAATAAGGTAATTTAATCTTTTTTAATAAAAAATTATTGAAATGAAGTAGTTTTAGGATGATTTTTCATTTAATTTTTAGGAAGTAAAACTGACAAAAACTTTTTACCTTTCAAAAATTAGAAAAAAAAAATTACTTTAATATATGCTTTAAAAATAAGGTAATTTAATCTTTTTTTAATAAAAAATTAATGAAATGATGTAATTTTAGGATTTTTTTTTTTTTTTAATTTTTAGAAAGTAAGACTGACAAAAACTTTTTTCTATGGGAAAATACAAGAGAGTAAGGGAATGTTGTTGCCTGAGCTCAAACCCAAGACTTACTCAAGCTCAAGCCTTAAAGTTTGGGTTGTGAACCAATGGCCAACAAGGACAGTTCATCAATCTAAATTGAAAAGGACATTAATTGGTATATTTTTTTAATTTAATTATAATATATTTATTAAAAAATTATTTTTTTAATCTAAAATTAAAAACAAATAAATTTAAAAATACAATCATGTTATATGCATGTAAAAACTAACTGAATCGATTATACTTATATTATATT